CCCCAATCTATATGTTCTATTACTACTCTTTTGCCCGCAGCGCCCGCAAGCCCACCAAACAAACAACCCCACCAGGCACACAGTTAATAAATCCGGAGCCTATAGGGGTACAAGTTTACCAACCCCCAAGCGCCCCGGCCCAATGATATCTTTAATTAACTCATTTAAAAACAGAATGAGTTTAATTTTAAAATTATTGGATAAAAATGTCAATGATAATTGTTCAAACTCCTAAAACTTATTTCGGTTCCGACATTAAAAAATCATTAGGTTCTCTTCCCGGATTTCCATGGGCAAAATATCCCGGAGAAAAACATCTCCCTGGTCATAATTACACTGGTCCACGTACAAGGTTAGATCTGCGATTAGACCAAAACGATAAACCAAAACCAGGTGAAGACGCTGCACTTAAACACGATATACTATACAGAAATAAAGACATAACATCCAGACACGAAGCAGACAAACAAATGATAATCGAACTTGAAAATAATCCAAATCCAACTTTTAAAGAGAGAATTCAAAGAGCATTAATCATTAAACTCTTGAAAGCAAAGAACTTTTAAAAGAAATTGGGATTTGCGGATGAAATTCATAAAGAATTTAGAAAAAACAAACATTTTTTAAAAGTCAAAGTGTTTGATAAAGATGAAATATGGTCAGCAGATTTAATTAATATGCCAGTCGAAAGAGGATATAAATATTGTTTAACCGTTATAGATTTGTACACAAGATATACTTTGGTTATTCCTCTCAAAAACAAAACAGGTTTATCAGTCAAACACGCATTTGAAACAATAATGAAACAATCTGACAGACGACCTCAAAAGTTATGGGTAGATAAAGAAAGTGAATTTTATAACAAAAATATGAAATCTCTAGGATTTGAAATTTACAGCACGCATAATGAAGGTAAAGCTGTAGTAATAGAAAGATTTAACAGGACTCTAAAAAATAAATTATACCAAAGGTTCACGGAATTAAAATCTCAAAAATGGCTTAAAATATTACCAGAGGTTGTAGATGAATACAATAACAAAATTCATTCATCTATAGGTGTCACACCAAAACAAGCCACAAATAATCCAAATATTATAAAGTCAATTAACACACAAAATAACTATGAAAATGAAATAAACAATTTAAATATCAAACCCAAATTTAAAGTCGGAGATCCAGTTCGTATTTTCAAATATAAAAGCAAATTCGAAAAAGGTTACGTCGGATTTCGGACCAACGAAATATTTATCGTAGATATAGTAAACAGCACATCACCTCCAACATATGAATTAATCGATCAAGACAAAGAACAAATCATAGGTAGGTTCTATCAAAACGAACTTCAAAAAGCTGACTTTTAAAAATGAATATCTCTCTCGATAAATACGGAAGCGATACAACTACAAACTTTCAACTTATGAAATGGGTAAATGAGTTAAATATATCACCGTTTTATTATTGTATGAGAGATGAAATAAATGATCTCAAATATAATAAAGGTAAATTTTATGCTATAACAAATATACATACTTCCGATCAAAAAGGAGTTCATCACTCTGCTTTATACAAAGACTCTTCAAATGACTTATATTTTTTTGATTCTTTTGGATTAGAACCCACCGAAGAGATAGTGAAATTAACGAATAAACCAATCAAATGTTCAACATTTCAAATTCAATTACCGGGTCAAAAATTTTGTGGTCAACTTTGGGGTTTATATCAGGAAAACAATTTGTAGAAATTATAATAAGTTTAACTTAATAAAAATGGCGAATAAATTTGGATTAGGTTCTTTACCTTTAGATACTAAAAAACCGAACACAACAGCATGGATAAATAAAGCAAAACCTTATTTTGTGGATCAAATTGGAGACAAACTTCAAGGTGATTTAGATATGAAAAATTTTACCATAACTAATTTAAAGTCACCAGAAAATGATTATGATGCTGTTCACAAGAAATATTTAATGGATCAATTAAATTTAATTGAAGTAAATAAAGAACATTTAAAAGAAAGAATAGGCGATGTGTAAAGATACTTCAAACGACTAATAAATAATAAAGATTTTATTGATGATACTAAACTACAACAAGAAGTAACAAGTTTGAAAAGTTTTATTGAAGAACAATTACTTAATGTAGTAGATAAAACTCAATTATAAGTTTTAAGTTCATTAATATCTAATTTAGATGATAAGATTACAAAACAAAAAATAGATCTTAAACAACTAATAGTCAATATTAATCCAGGTATAATTGAAGATAAATTAACAACATTAGAAACTAAACTTATTGATAATAGTGAAATACAAAAACAAATAGTTGGTATTAAACAACAATTACTTAATGTAGTAGATAAAACTCAATTAGAAAATTTAAAATTATTAATATCTAAATTAGATGATAAGATAACAAAACAAAAAATAGACCTTAAACAACTAATAGATAATGTTAAACCAGGTATAAGTGAAGAAAAATTAACTGAATTAGAAACCAAACTCAATGATAATAGTGAAATAGATGCTATTAAACATCAACTTCTAAATGTAGTAGATAAAACTCAATTTCAAAATTTAAAATCATTAATATCTAATTTAAATGATAAGGTTACAAAACAAAAAATAGATCTTAAACAATTAATAGATAATATTAAACCAGGTATAAGTGAAGAAAAATTAACTGAATTAGAAACTAAACTTAATGATAATAGTAAAATAGTCAATATTCAAAAACAATTACTCAATCTAGTAGATAAAACTCAATTAGAAAATTTAAAATCATTAATATCTAAATTAGATGATAAGATAGGAAAACAAAAAATAGACCTTAAACAACTAATAGATAATATTAAACCAGGTATAAGTGAAGACACGTGGCAACAGGAATCAACTGCTCTAGAAACTAAATTTAAAACTGAATTAAAAAAAAGAACTAACAAATATTAATCAACTGATACAAAATATTTATGATAGCGAGATTCAACAACAGGTAACTACAATTAATAACGAAGTTTTAAAACAGGAAAAAAATATAGCCACATTAGAAAAACATCTCAAGGAAAATAAAAAATCATATTATTTCAATCTTCCAGTTTTCAGTGTGAGAAATACTGATAGGTGAAACAACATATCACTTTGAAGGATATGGTTTTATATTACAAATAAAAGTATTTTCATATATAAGTGGAAACGTTAAAAACATATTTGATGATTCAGGAAACTTTAATTTCCAAGGTAAATCTCTAATTGAAATTCTTTTTCCTGTAAAAGTTAAAATCGATTCAATCTTCTTCTCCCATCCATCTCACATTTTAACGCTCGTAAGATTTTCGAATTTATCAAAGATGGCGATTATGTTGAAAATAAAGATTTGGAAGTTAATGATGAAAACAACAAGCCTAATCATATGTATGAAATTAAAACAAATGGAAAATATATAGACACCTTTAGAACGTTAATAATACCAGATAATGACAGAAATACTCTTTCAATAGGTGATTTTGATATGATATTAAAGACGGAAAGCTCACCATCGATGAACATTATTAGAAATCCAACTCCGCAAGAAATAGAAACAACAAAAATTTATACGTTTTTAAGAACATCAGACTTTGAATATGTAAAGCTATTTTTGTTAATACTAGTTTTTTGTACTCACCAAGTTCTAATACTAATTTATTTACCTCAATTGATATTCACAAAAGTCAACAAGAAAAAGAATTTATAATATTTTCATCAATTATTGAACGTTATCATAATAAAGAAGTTGGTGATTATATACTTGTAGATGTAGAATAGTGATTAATATTGAAAAAGAAAATTTTGCAGTTCATCTAAATAAGATTAATGATTCGAAAGAAGAAATATCATTAGTATCTGTATATGCTGCTATTCTTTCACCCGAAGTATTTATAACAGATAAACAAAAATAATACAAGGTTTAGAGATTAGAGGGGACTCTATTGTAAATCTTTGTTATCAGAAATTCACTTAATTTAATGTCTTAAAAATGGAACTCGAAAGTAGACAGCAATATATGATAGACAAACAAAACGAGTTAAAAGTAAAACTAGAACAGTATAATAAATGTAAGAAAAGATGGATTAGAATTGATTCTGTTTTCAAAACACTGAGTGTACTTCTAACAGTAGGAGCAACAGTTGCAACGGCTGTAACTGGTGGATTAATGGTTCCAATACTGTCCAACTTTATTAGCAACAGCTACTGCTATTCAATCTTGTGGGTTGATTGCTATAGTTTATACATCAAAACAGAAAGCTCATTATAAATAGAAAACAGAAATTTTAAATTCATATCTTAATAAATTATTTATATTTTTCAAAAGATCAAGAGAAGATAAGAACATAACAATAGAAGAATTAGGAGAATTCAATGAAATTCTAGAAAAATTTGAGATGGAAATATCAGCAATAAAAGTTAAAAAAAAAATACTTAAAAATAGATCATTAAAAAAGCATATATGAAAAATATGAATGAATCAATGGAAATTAATGATGATGAAACATTCATAGAAAACGTGTTATTTTCAAATATTATCAAGGCTGTTTCCAATAAATTTTCAACATTTAAAGGACAAATTGAAATAGATGGAGAGATATTTCAAGATGGAAAGCACAAACAATTTATGAAACTTCTTGGTTTTAATGCCAAAACTTTTCAAACTATCTTTAGAAATATGGAAGAAAAATCTGACCCTTCTGATTGGTACTTTACAGGAAGTATTTTTTTTACTTAAAGACAATTTTAAGGAAATTAAAAGATCAAAAGTTTGAAGAGGAACTGAACTACTCAAAAAAATAAATGAATATATAGGTGAAAATTGTTACATACCAACAGATGGTATCTGTTTTATCAAATGTGTAAATTATGTTTTAAACAAAGATTTAACAAATGAATTTCAAAATTCTATCAATAGTTTCTCAAAAGCAAATAGAAAAGGAGTGATGCCATCTGCTAGAATTAATGAATTCAATAAGAAATTTTTGAATTTATACTCATAATAATAGAAATTTGCGCCCCACAATTGTAAAAGAGGAATTAGATTGGATTTTATATTTACACAACTCACATTTCTGTCTTATAAGAAGAAATAGAAAAAGTTTGGGTAATAAAGAAATAGAAGATAATCATGAAAAAGTTTGGAAAACGTGTAGAGACGATAACGCAGTAACACAGGTTTCACCTCTGAAACTAAACGTGTTTTCAAGTATAAGTGATGCTGGATTATTTGCTTGGGATTGTGAAACGTATTCAGAAAGTGAAACGCGTAAAGCAATTCCTTATGCGTGTACGTTAATTAATTTAGAAAAACTAAGAAAAGTGTTAGACAGAATAAATAATCTCTTTCCAGATTTAAATCCTTCAGATAATGTTCCAGAAAAACTAATGGATATAGTAGAAATATTTGTAAGTACAGATTGTATAGATCAAATGTTGAAACATTTAGGTCAATGATAGAAAGAGATTAATATTAATTTCTCATAACGGTAGCAATTTTGATAACTAGATCGTGATTAAAAATATAAAAAAACACAATGCCCTTTAAAAACACCCAGAGGAATTCTATCTTTACCTTTATCTAATCCATACACAGATGAAGCTTTACAGAAAAAAATGAAAAAACAGAAAGAAATAACAAGTAATAATAATTATTTACAACATATTAATTTCACATGTTCCTATCAACATGAAACATCTAGTTTAGCGGCATGGGGTAATTCATCTAATCTACCAATGAATTCGAGAAAGATCACTGATATCGATATTGCAAAATACACCAAAGATAACTGGGAATCTGTAAGACACGAATGGGAACCTTACGCTAAAAGAGATACGTTATGTCTTGGAAGTTGTTTGATAAAATATAACCAAGTCACGAAAGAAGTTGTAAACCAAAATATGTCCAACAACCTAACGGCTCCATCTTTATCTTTTAAGGGTTGGTATTATTTGTATCATTACGATAAAGAAATGGTTGAAGAAGAATGGTATGAAACTACTAGAATGGTTCCGAAACATACTGAAAAAGATGATATAGAAAAAGTTAATTTGCACACTAATCCTTTTATAAGACATTATATCAGACGATCTATTAAAGGAGGAAGAGTTTCGGCAAATAGAAAAATATTTGAAACGAAGAAAATGGATGAAATTTGTAATGTATTACGGGAATCTATTTCACAAAGTGAAACACAAAGTGAAACTGAAAGTATTTCACAAGGTGATAATTCACAAAGTGAAACACCAAGTGAAACTGAAAGTATTTCACAAAGTGAAACACGAAGTGATAATTCAAGAAGAGATAACGTAATTAATCTATTCAAAGAATACAGCGCGAGCACAAAAGACAAAACAGTGTTAATTCAAAACTTAAAAAAATAAAATGTACTAAACTAATGGCATTTGATGCTAATGGTTTGTACGCTTCAGCAATGTCGGATTTAGACAGTGAATATCCAAAAGCAGAAAGTGGAAGACCTTTTCTACCACAAGAAGAGAGAAAATTTTTAAAACTCTTCAATGAACAGAAATTTAGACCTAGAACAGCTATTTTAACAGTGTGGTTTAAATATCCCAAAAACATGTTCTTCCAACCAATACCAGCTAAAGATAATCGTGCGCGGACATTACGCACCCAGATAATTCCCGCCCGGACACTTCCCGCCCAGCCAATTGCCACATTTCGCACCAGGACTATTCACATCAGCACAACTTCCACCCGAGACATTTCGCACCCGGGCACTTTGCACCCCGGACAAATTCCACCTAGGACAATTTCCCACCGCGACATTTCGCACCCGGGCACTTTGCACCCAGGACAAATTCCACCTAGGAAAACTTCCACCCGAGACATTTCACACCCGGATACTTCACACCAGGACGATTCACATCCAGGAAAACTGCCATCCGGAAATTTCGCACCCGGGCAGTTCGCACCCAATTTTTGCTCCCATTATAAAAATATTAAAAACATAGGGCATGAATTGATAGAAGAAGAAAAAAGTTATGATTGTGGTAAATATTTGATGCAAAGAGCTTGTAATGGCTCTTTGGTGGCGTACATGTTTACTAACTAAATTGTTACTGTTTTCAGAATTTATCTTCAATATAGGCCTATGCCCTGTGCTATATTTTGTTTATTCGTCGGAAAAAAAAGTTCAAAGGATAAAGGAAAGTGAAATGTGCAGTATCCGTTTCTTCGTGGCCTTCTTCGCGGCCTTCTTCGCAGGGTTCTTCGAGGCAAGATGCAGGGTTCTTCGATCCTTTTTTAACGGTAAGTGTCACGAATGTTCAGAGTTCCAAATTTTCAAGCCGGGGAAATCGTGCATGGAATTCAATAATAAGAATGATTAAATTCAATTAAAATATAATTGCAACTTATGACTCCGACACATAATTTCAAAAAATAGA